TTATAAGAGACGTGGTCCATGTGGCAAATGCCTGACCATGAGACTTACTCAGAGGCTTTAGCTTCTAATTAGTCACCCAGACGCAGATGAGGGCGAATAACGCCTTAAGTGGCGTGAGTCGAGTGAAATATGTGAACCAGGAAGAGGGAATTCGGATCTTTCGGGGCAAGAAAGAGACTGTGGTAGGACCTAAGAAAGGAGGACTGCGTAACAATATGGCAGAATCTGACCAACATTCCCAGCAAAAGTATGAATGGGGTGAGAAAGCCAGTGTGGAGTGTAGAGGGTTCTCACGAAAGCCGCTCCAAAGGGCACACCGTACCACATTTAATTAGGCAAGTAAAAAATTGTGACAGTGAAGGCGTGATAGGAGAACATAGGAAATGTGAATAGGCCAGGGCAGAAGGGGAGATACCATATCTGTTTAGTACACGTTTGATTAAAGGATCGTCTCACTCGTCTAAGTCTTCTTACCAATACGACCGAGTTGCGAAAACAAGGTCAACAACCTCTATATATTTTGCAAGTTTACGAATTCCTACCGTCTCAATTCGCCAAAATGGAAGTAAGAAATGAAATTACTAAAATAACTTTTGGGACACAATATATGAGAATATGGATTTATCTGTATACATATATCTGTGTATATATATATATATGTGGATATGAGGAAGTTATAGAATAAAAAAGGTTTGAAGTGACGGCGACTTGATGGTTATTTGCATCGTATTGCCCTACCGAGGCATCTTATCCTACTTTTCACTTTGCGGATGATCAGCTTCGTCTTGCTTATTGATATCCAAACTTTGAGTAACAGCAATCTCCTCTGTGAATTGATGCTCATGTTGGCCACAACGCGAGTGATATTCCCCAACCCCGTGCTCCTCGTGTCTGCTTGGTTGATCTCTCTCGGACAACACCATAGTGCTAGCAACAAGATCGTCGGCTCCACTTGCTTCATGGGAAGAAGAAGACAGTATAGGACCGGGTAGATTAGGCGTTTCTGATATACTGAGACAATCTGCAGAAACGCCACTACTGACTGGGACCCAACGGTTTGAAGGGGCAATGCCCACTTGCTGATGTGGTTGGCCTCCTGTCTGTGATGTAGGCGAGACTGGACGAGCAAGATTGTTTGAGGCCTTATCAGCAAGCCTGGAGAGATAAGCCGCCCGTAGGCAATTACTACTTGAGCTAATCAGAGGAGGAGGTGAGTAGTCGTCGAGGGGCAGAATTGTTGCGAAGGGGAGTTCGGCCAGGGAGGCCGAATGCACTGATCCTATAAGGGAAAAGTGCGAAAGAGAAGTAATAGAAAAGATTAAAAAAAAACATGTATTTAGAGAAAAGGTGGTCGTCTAGCACCGATGCGAGAACTAATAGATAGTGAAATTTTGTGTAAGAGCTGTCTAATTTCGCTACGGAGGCCTGACTTGATCTCGTATTAAAAGTTTGCTTCGAAATGAAAATTGGTTAAATGGATTAGTGAATTGAAGAACAAGATTGGGTTTAATTGGAACCAATACTTTTGGAATGTGCAAAAAAGTTATAGACTAGCCGTCCTGCTGTCTCGTCGGTAGTGACAGAATCCACCCGA